TAGATTGTCCGATAGTGGTTTTGTGTATTCGACGCCCATGCCCGCTGCGCTCTTCAGTGTATAATGGGTACGAACCTCCACTGACGGTGGAAAATGCAAGCTCCGAGGAGAATGACATTTAAACTGCATTGCCCAGATGTAGAATGAGGGCGGTGATTTTATATAGAAGTTGCCTGAACGCTCGTCAGGGAATATGGACAATATCAGTAACGAAGTACCAACATGAAAAATAAGGCCTTCAACCTGGATATCGGAAGACGCAAAACAAATTTCGCGATGAGACGGGATCACTGACAATATAGAAAACAGTCAGTGTATAAAATTATTCAGAAGGTGTACTTATTTTAAGGCGCATCGGTTGCCTTTACTATAGACCGATAGGATTGTAAGAAACATGACTCTGCGGTTTTTAGTAGACGGAAGCTTAGTGTGGAAAGCTAGGAGTCCTTCGTCTTTACAAACGCATTCTACCGGCCCAAGCGCCAGTATTGTTACGTTCAATAACATATCTGCATACATCCCTTATCGAAATAATCTAGACGAACAGGGGGCATTGTTGGTTTTATATGAGCGAATATTGTATTACGATATCTGTTCGTCATCCGTTTGCCCGAGATGCTCTGCTATTGGTCATGATGTATCGCGAAGACCTTGTTTGTAGGCTGGGTGAGTGATGAGGATAGGGTGCACTGATAGATGTCTAATTCCGATATCGGGCTCTTATTAAGTCATTGCTTGAGTAATTCACCTTCCATTTGTCCTCATTATGTAATGGCTGAAAACAGTTGTTTAGGAGATAAACTAACAACTCAAAACCACACAGCTTAGGCTCAAGGGGGAATAAATAAGAAGTCGACGAAGAAGGCTCATGTGATCTCCCGAAAGGACTTCGGACTAGGAACGCTGCCCATTTTGCAAGTGGCCTTGCGTTAAATTGTAGGAAATGTTCACTTACGACCAGGTCTGATACTCAGAAATCTCATGAACTGTATGCGTACCTAAATTCTTTAACAACCTCTACACGGCAGAGAATGAGAATACGAACAGGCAAGTAAAAAGGTGTTAGGAACCTTAATGTCATTAATAAAAAGCTGCGTGTACTTGCAGCGTTCCACCCAAGTCGGCTAGTACTCTGTCCAAACCCATTTAAGGGAAATTTCTAGAAGGGCCGAGTACTACTCGCAAATATGGACCAATCAAATCTGATGGGATCACTGTAGACACAACCAATGACGAGGGACTGTCGGCAGCATGCGACGAGCTTGACTGACTCTTCGTGGGCACATGGACATTCCCAACAGGTGCCAAATATTCGTGTTCTAAATATAACGCTGACCCTAAGTTAAGACCCAATTCAATTTAAATACTTGGTTTCTTTCTTGTAATGCGTAATCAACCACCAAGGAGATTCAAAAAGCGAATACTCAAGAAATTAAGGAATAGCATAAACTTAAGGGGGCTCACGTAGAAGGACAATTTAGAGAGCAGTTATTCTGGCGGCATCATATCGCCCGTATCTGTAACATCACTGCTACGTGGATCCGTCTCGATAAAAGTTATCCAACAAAGGGTGGTTGCTTCACTTATTATTTTCGTACCTTACCTACCATACGGATATCAAAGCGCAATCAGCAGCCGCAGTTTGCGGTTTGAATTTCTCGTCCTCCGTGGGAAATATTATTTTCGGGATTT